CCCAAAATAGTATTGGTGATGATTCAGTCCTCCAAAAGTTTAAGTTAAGGCTTGCAGCACAGAACAAACAGGTCGGTACAGGCACCTTGTATTCTGCACCCTAAACCCTAAACCCTGAACCCTAAACCCTAAAGCCCCTTTACCCCTAAACCCCTAAATCCTAAAACCCTAAACCCTAAACCCCAAAACCCTCAACCCTAAACCCTGAAGCCCCTTTACCCTAAACCCTAAACCCCAAGCCCTGAACCCTAAACCCTAAAGCCCCTTTACCCTAAACCCTGGACCCTAAAGCTTCCACCCTGACCTAAACGCTGAACCCTCAACCGGATTTTAGGGTTTAGGGTTGAGGGTTTAGGGTTTAGGGTTTAGGGTTTAGGGTTTAGGGTTCCTTCCAAACCCTGAGCCGGAAATTTCAGCCCAGAAAAGAATTTTTCATGGCATTTGTAGCATACTTCACTATACCGGCATGACCTAGGTTCCTGAGTAGTACCCTTTTGTTTGTTTTTTCGGGCCCCCATCTTAAAGCCGGACATGAGTGAAAAAGGGTGCCCTTCTTATATAGGGGCTACTCAGGAACCTCGTGACTATACCTTGCGATACTATACCCCACTAGGGAAACCGTGTCCTTCAAGGCACGTTAACTTATAACTGTGACTACCTTAAGAACCCAAAACCTACTTTGTTGCAGGGTCCCTATATATCCCATATTAGGGTTTATAATAACAACCTACAAAAAAGGTGGGTTTTGGGTTCTTAAGGTAGGTACAACTGGGTGTATGATGTTGGCGCTTGGGGCTTCAGCTCTTTGGTTTAGTGTAGTGATCCATGATTAATGGCTTATTGAAAAAGCACTACCAATAATATCACCCTTAGCCCCTAGATAGCATCATTTTTCCCAAAATGTTCGATTTTTCCTGAAACTCCACACCCCAGACTTTTGTCTCGACGTTTTCCCTAAACCGTAAACCCTAAACCCTAAAGAGGGCTTAGTGCAGAGTTTCAGAGGTGGCTCCGTCGCTGATGGCCCTCGCCGCCTTCTCCGTGAATCTCTTTGCGGTTTCTCAGCTCACTTCTGGGGCTTTCGGATCCCTGGCTTAGGGTTCAGGGTTTAGGGTTTAGGGTTTAGCGTTTAGGGTTTAGGGTTTCGAGTTTAGGTTTTAAGGTTTGGCATTTAGGGTTTAGGGTTTAGCGTTTAGGGTTTAGGGTTTCGAGTTTAGGGTTTAAGGTTTTGTCGTTTAGGGTTTAGGGTTTAGGGTTTAGGGGTAAGGGTTTACGGTTAGGGTTCAGGGTTTAGGGCACGGCTTACCGGACACATGGGTCACTGTGTTACATATTGTGTCTATTCCTTCAATCTTTGTTAAGGCTGCTTTAGTGGGTTCTCAAAGACCTCTATAGGTTCCATGAGGGTTCTGTGAGGGTGGCAGAAGGTAGCTTCAGGGCTGAGAAAGGGGTCTAAAAGGGCTTTGCCAAGGACAACGGGGGCTCCGTCGGGGTTCCAGGGTTTAGGGTTCAGGGTTCTATGCCGCAAAACTTGGAGGTTCGGGGCTTGGGGCTGTCTTTTGTGTAGAGTTGCTAAACCCTAAACCCTAAACCCCGGGGTTCCCTTTGTAATGTAGCCGAGGAGGGCTCCGAACGCCCCGCGAGGTCAGCTGCGGAAGGCGCCTCTGGAAGGCCGCAATCCCGACCGAGGGTTTTGTGTTTTAGGGTTTAGGGTTTAGGGTTTAGGGGTTTAGGGTTGAGGCTTTAGGGGTTTGGGGAGGGTTTTGGGTAGGGTTTATAGGGTAAACCCTACACCCTAAAAACTGTGGACTTGGGGTTATTCGGTTTGCGGTTGAAGTGTTTAGCCTCGGGTTGCATAGAGGAGCCTTGGGTACTAGGGATTAGGAGTATGTTAGAGTGGACAGTGGGTTACATTGTACATCCCTGCGGGGTTTCTACAGGGGCTTGCAAGCTGTGGTCTTAGAGATTAGGATTCAGGGTTTAGAATTTAGGGTTTCGGGTTTTGGGTGTGGGGTTTCGGGTTTATGGTTTCGGGTTTAGGGTTTAGGGTTTTGGGTTAAGGGTTTACGGGGCCGTAAGGGTCATTTCTCGGCTCGGAAAGCTGAATGGCGCGTGCGATTGGCAATGCTTCTTGACAGGACGTCTGCAAACATCCTGACATGTGATGTCACCCGCAGCTCAGCAGATGCAAAACAAGACTGCAGCGGCATACCAGCTCCAATCTTCGCAGTCCGAAAAATTGCGGGACCTTAATAGCTAGAACAGCATTGCTTAGTGGTCCCGAACATAAGTCAACTGTAATTACTATATGATACCCCAAATACCTCATGCTGATCATTCAAGCCCACATATTTTGATAGTCTGACGGCTTGGATCTGGGCCATTTTGCGTTGGTGTTTAACATCTCTAACCCTTAAACCGCAACAGACACCCTCAAACCTTTAAACCTAGAAGACCGGGGGCATATGACAAGAAAGTTTGTTGTTTTACTGGGATTTGCATCCTGGTAGGGGTTAGGGGAAAGAATGCGCACCCTGAAGCCAGAGCTTCGGGCTTGGGACTAATATAGGGTTTAGGGTTTAGGGTTTAGGGTTTAGGGTTTAAGGTTTAGGGTTTAGGGTTTAGGGTTCGGGTTTGGGACTAATATAGGGGCCGTAGTAATTGCCTAGTTTGGAAGTTCCTCATTATAATTATAGCATAATATACATTCAAACCCTACTCTAATTATTCAGGCCCCTGTATTGCGACCGTCTAAGATCGCCTGTGCTCAGAACATGAACGACCTGCTCGCTCGATTGAACAACCCTGTCGCGTCGTTGGAAGATATGGTGCACGAGCTGGAGCCCATCCGCGCCTGAATAATTAGAATAGGGTTTTGGGGTCCTTTATAGTATGATCATAATAAGGAACCCCCAAAATAACATAGGTAATTATTGAGGCCACTACATTAGGCTGTCCCTTTTTGGAGAGGTGCCATGGTAAACCATAGACAAATCGGTTGAGGTACCTTCTTGCAGGCATTCCTGTGAAGAGACAAGCCTGTTTTGTCTTAAGCTGGGTGTCTACATAGGCTGAGGCTTGGAGTTTAGATTGTTTTTCATATTCAGGTTTAGCTCTTTCGGTTTCCCTTGCATGGTCTTTGAATTGCGAGGACTTTGGTTCAAAGCCCTAAACCCTACCAAACCCTTAATCCCTAAACCCTAGGGTCCGGGGATTAGGGTTTGGGTCTAGGGTTTCAGGGTTAGGGTGACAGCCTTGGGTCTCCTTTAGGGTTTAGGGGCTTAGATGCTTAGGGTTGAATGTAGGATGTTTCGGGCTTTTGCGAGTAAGGCGTCTCAGAGATTTGATTCTTCAGTGGTCCCTGAGGTTTCAGGACTCATCGGTAATATAGGGGCATGAACAATTAGACTAGGGTTTTTCGTGTATACCTAGACCAGCAAGTCAGGGGTATTGAACTGCTGGGAACCCCAACTGAGAACCCGGGGAGTCCAAAAAGCCTTTAATCAAGGGGATTTAGGCTTTAGGGGTTTAGGGTTTAGGGTTTAGGGTTTAGGGTTTAGGGTTTAGGGTTTAGGGTTTAGGGTTTAGGGTTGAGGGTTTAGATATACCTTACCCTAAGGCTCCTAAGAGGGTCTTCGGCTCTCCGGGGGGGAGTTTCGGCTTTGGGATCTCACCGCAAGGGTCCAGGAGCCTTAGGCAAAGCTTCATTAAGGATCCGACTATAATTTGCCACATCAAACCCTGGACCCTCAACTCTTACTCCTAAGCCCTAAACCTCCATCCACAGACCCTAACCTTGATTGAGAGGTTCTGTAGTCACTGGGAGAAAAGAAACCCTCTAAACTCCCAAACCTCCGACCGTCTTAGCCCGCACGCCGTCACTGGAGCCAGAAGAACCTACTATGGTACTATAGGGACCTCAATGATTGCGAACATTAGTTTTTGGGAGTTCCTTATTCTATTATGAAGGACCCCCCAAAACCCAATTCTAATTAATCAGGCCCCAAAAAGTAGCAGAAACTCGGGTTTGAAATTGGGGTTATGGGTTTGTGGGTTTGGCCAGGGGCCATAGTAAGTCGGGCTCAAGTTGGGGCTAAGGGTCCCCCAAGTAGTTTATCCATGCCATTTAGGGTTTAGGGTTTAGGGACTTACTAAGAGGGTCTAGGGTTAAGGGTTTAGGGACTTACTAAGAGGGTCTAGGGTTTAGGGTTTAGGGACTTACTAAGAGGGTCTAGGGTTTAGGGTTTAGGGACTTCTTAAGTCCCTTGCTTCAAGCAGTCCAACCTCCTGCACGGGCTTTTGGCCTAAGGCCCTGATCTTGCTTTCTTTTGAAGACAACACTACTTTGAACCAGGAGTGATCTTCCTCGTATATGTACATGTACATATGTATATACAGATGTATACATACATACATGCATGCATACATACATACATACATACATACATACATACGTACATACGTACATACGTACATACATACATGCATACATGCATACATATTTGCATATATATATATACATACATATATATACATATATATGTAGGTATGGACTCTCTCTCTCTCTCTATATATCCCAGAGGGTCCTAAGTTAGTAACAGACAAGACCTCAGCTGGAAAGTTCATGCTCATGGGAAGTTGTTTCCTAGAGCCATTGTAAACAAGAAATATATATAAATATACATATATATATATAATATTATATATATATATGTTTAAATTTAAGCTTCTTAAGCAGCTTCGGGTTTAGTGGGTTGGGGGACATCGGATCGCTCATCATTTTGCCCCACTGCTCGACGATCTACGGCATGTTCGGGAACCTTGAATCAACAGCAAACCGTGGTCGCAATCAGAATAACAGCTTCGCACAGTCCGGTTGCTGCCGAGCCACTCACCATAAGCACGTTTGAAGAAGCTCATCTCCAATCTTGCTCGGTGGCATTTTCGTGCAATAGCTGCCGCACAGGGGGCTATGTGGTTCAAACGATGAAGCCATGATCTCATGACACGTTTTTGTTTAGCATCCTGCCTTTGGCTGCTCCCATGTACCCCTCATCGCGAAAGGTATGGCCATACTTCGGATTTTGGCCTCGGCATAATGGTTTTAAGGATGTGTTGCGGGCAGTTGTGTATGCCACCACGGTGCCATCCATGATGGCCATGAAAACAAGTTCCTGGTAGGCCTGAGAAAAACGTACAGACATGAATGCTAGATCAGGGCATGGACGGCTGTGCGTGCCGCTAAGTCGCGTGAAACTTGGGTCGCAGAGGCCACAATCGGTCGGATCTTTGGCTTGCCATCGTCGCAAGGGCAGCATAGCCGGTGCAACTCTTATCCTGATGCAGCTCCAGCTATCGTTCGTGTTTGATGTGTGCACAAACTTGAAATGAGCAATGACCTTTGCCAAGATTCGCAAGCCTCTTCGAGCTCAGCTTTGCCAGCTGGGCTGAGGTAGCGCCCGTTTTTCTCCATCAGATTGAAAAACTCGTTCAACCAATACCTGATCAAATTAGGGGGTTAGGGTGTAGGGTCTGGGTCGCGTCCTGTGTAGCAAACATGCAGTTTCTTTTTGCAGCCATGTTGCACGGTTTTCACCATTTCAGACAATTCTCGATCGGCTCGAAAATCGTTGGAGTCGCACAGCTTCAGCAGCAATTGGCATAACCATCCCGTCACAACACGAGCCTAAGATCTCAACATGGTGTGTGGCAGACAGTAGCTGAAACCAGATCCTCGTGCAATCTGAGGGGCATTGTGAGCCTTCATTGTCATCTCTGCATAGCCCGATACAGCATCTCGAAGGTTTCGTGCGTGAAATTCGGGCTGGGAGTGCCTGGCGGCGATCTTTTATAATGACTAGACATGTGCGGGGCACCTATATGTTATCAGGCCATGCATGACATGCTAGCACACATGTACATGTGCACATATTTGCGGCATGATGCTCGATCTTGCTCGCCCGAGTCCATTCCATGAACTCTGAGTGGGCGATGGACAGGCGAACATTCATCTTGTCCTTTGCATGGGTGCCGGCGGGTGCCGGCCAGAGGTCCTGCAGCTTGAATTTAAATATAATCTTGAACAGCCCACACGTGTTTAGCCCATCAATCCCGAGCGGTCCTCGATCCTCAGAAGCATGATCAGCACGGAACCCGCCACCCAGTGGCAGATTCCAAGATTTATCGTGTGCATGCTGCACCATCGAAGGGCGGAGTGATGGAAGCCTCTGATGCTCAACACATGGCCTCAGGATGAAGGTCGGTCATTCTGCAGACAAACACGAATCCTCAGAAATATTAACAATACATGAATGCTCATGATCGGACAAAGAGCTTCGTAAACCCTGGTAGGGTTTGCAAACAGACTTGAAGTCCTGCCACCCTCGTCGCGGAAGGAAACGTAGTTGAGAGGGAAACTTGAGGAAGTCGTCGTCTTTGGCTTTGCAGTGATGACAAAGTTGTTTGCAATTCCAGGCTGCACATAGGTTCAGCAGTTCCTGCATTCGAATTTTGAAATCTGACTAGTGCTTCGCAATCCTAAGAAATGTCCCCCATGTCCTTCATGAATTTCCAGTCCGCCCGCACTTCCGAAAAGTAAGCTCTCGGGAACTTCTTTGCTTCACCCATCACATCAGCAGCGGATTGCTCCATCGATTCCGGGTTCATGTTGTGCGGGTCCAAATACAGGGGGGCCACTCCCAAGTAGCAGTAATTGAAAGAAGCAGCGATCTTAGATTCCAAACGTGAACCCGATTATATGCTATAATTCTAGATCTATAGCGATATTTAAATATAATTAGGCCTAGGTCTGCCCGAACTCACTAAACCCTAAAAAACTAAACTTTAAACCCTAAGCTTTAAACCCTAAACACCTAAACCCTAAAGCCCTAAAACCCTAAATCTTGCAGCTGGAGGCAGGTCTCATGAATGCCTGCAGCGTCGCGAATCCGGTGCTCAAAGCCTAAGCTCTCAACGATCTGCTGCAGCATCTTTGTTGGGATGTTTTGAGTGCTAAAACAATCGATTCGAAGTGTGCACTATGGGATGTTAAATGTATGTTGAAGATTCTGACACTATCTCAACTTAAAGGTTGGGGCCTGGACCATTGCAAGCCTAGCAGCACAGCGTACAGCAAACAAGGGGAACCGATCCTGCACGTCGTTGTCAATCAATATGTTCATCGACACCAACACTAGCTTTTGGCCGTGCTCCGTGTAGCGGAAGTCATCTCCATGGATGCCGATGGGAATCATTCCTCTCTCGGCCTGTGCAGGCCACTGCACCACAGAGCTTTCGTGCTGCTTGAAGTTATCCCAGAAGTAACACAGGTCTTCGTCGCTATACAGTTGCCGTAGCCGCCCGCATTCATGCAAAGCACTCAAGACGTCGTGCGGCAAAACCAATGGCATGTCCCTTAAGGTCGCGGTTGCGGGGCCGAGATCTAGAGGTAGCAAATAAAAAATAACTTAAAAAATAACATTTCTGAAGTCCCCTGAAAAAGTTTTGGCGAAGGCTCCTTTGCTCCAGCTGCCACACCCCCTTGACTCGCTTTCGAACAGGTACGACAATATTTCGAATCGGCACCTGAAGCACAGCAGACATACACAAACCAACATCGCTGAAGTCTAGATTTAGAATCTAGAGCACCAGCCCCCCCACAGTAACAACTTGGAGCCTGGCTTGGAAGGGGGCTTCGTGCCTCAATACATCCCTCTCAATGTTGGACGTATGGCGGCCCTCTGCCCCTGCATTAGCCATAGCAGCCAGTGGTCTGTCAGGGCGGATGTCGTGGTCATCAAAGTCCTGCTGGAGATGCTGGGATGGTGGTTGGATTAAATAAATTATGGGGCGGCTCGCAACCTGTCGGCATAGAGGGTTGGGGTATTACTGAAATTTTAGACTTCAGGTTCTGCAATATCATGGACGGCGGTATAATATTATATTGCATTATACCTAGCTGAGGCTACAGGATATTTGTCTCAAGTATAGCGTACAGGGCATGCTTATATAGGATAGTCGGTTATAAGTATTAGTCGCGGGAATTAACTACAAAATATTATAGTATATACTAATTGGATAATCGGTGCTGTCCTCTACTGCAGCATGAGCCACCCGTTGTGCGGAAGCATAGCTGAGCTCCTGCTGCTACTATAGCTGCATCCAGAACTCGATTGCAAACTCGCGAATAGACTAGCTTGCAACTAGTGTACCCCGGCAGTCCCCCGATGTGATCATCGAGTGTAGGCATTGGCTTAGACATCCACGGCCAAAGCGATGATGAGCTTCGCCTGCGTAGGATATGCTTTGCCATGATAACATGCAAATATTGTTTGCATATGTGCACGATGCTATGGCATGGTCCGATTTTGGAGTTCATGCAGGGTCGAGTGCAGGATTCCCACACCCAGCGGAAGTCGTCTGCCCACATGTCTCGTGTACAGAGACAGGCTGAGGATCTCATCAGTCCTCACCTGTTTCGGATGTCCCGGGTTGCATCATAATTTGCATATTGCATGTGCAACACTCACCTCAGTACTAAGGCCACTAACCGACGACTGCAATGACTTGCAATCTACACTCGGAAATGGTACACCTAGCTAGCTTAAAGTTTTATCATCCAAATTAGCATCAAGTTCTGATAACAGAAGCTAATAACAATGCACACTTGCCCTAAAACTCCCTAGCTATAGGTGCAACATCATGTTACAGGCGGCGGTCACATGACCAATGAGGTGAAGTACACATATCTAGATGCATGTGATAGCTCACACACAGCTTCGGAACAAAACGAGGAGTGGCCCATGTCACTCGCTGCGACGGCCAATCACTTCTTCGGCTTCTTGGTGGCGGGTTTTTTGGCTTCGGGTTCAACCTCGCTCCACAGAGTCCCACAGCCCAGACTCAGACCATACACGATAGACCGATTAAGCCAAGCGACGAACAAGGCTTTGATTGGTTTCAAGGCGTTCGTGTAGTTCTCGACAGCCTTATCGAGTTTCGTGGCAAGTGGCAATAATGTCTCCTCATCCTTTGACCCTGAGATCATCGTCCAGTCGAGGGCTTCGGTAGCAGTTTCGAGAGGCTTCTGGTAGAGCTGGATCTGCGAAACATAACCTTCTGCCAGTTGCGGGGACCTGGGCATGCACACCGGTTTTGGTTTCGGTATTTTGCTAATCAGGGGTATAGGGTACCGGTTAGAGCTAAATAGGTTTAGTTGCATTATAATATACATATACTGCAGGCTCACTGTACATGTAACAACTTCTAACACATAGGCCCTAAACATAATAACGAGGATGTTCAGGATTCAGGCGCTAGGAATATTTTGGTCGAATTGTTTATGGCTTTCGGCTACGATTTGACACAAGTCTACAATTTATAACCAAGTGTCATTTTTCGTGCCAGGGGGTCTTCCAAGGCTTGGTCCTCTTGAATCTTTTTCACCCAGAACTTTGCATCGGTAATACTCGATCTCCCAGCCTTTAGCTTCGAGTTGGCCTTCCCTGTGTAGGTGGCTGGCTTTTTGGTCTTATTATTGTTGTTTGGCTCGCCGCCCAAGTTCTCTTTGCTTTTCGGTTTCTTCCCACCATTGAGGCTGTCTCGCGGAAGCCCTGGCTGGACACCTCTGCCGCTGGGATCCACACGACCTGGCTGCGATGCTGACCTTGGATCAGAGGTTTTGATTTGGGCAGGTTTTTGTTGGGCTTTACCCTAAACCCTATACCCCTAAACCCTAAGGGCCTAGTCGGTTTGTAATGATGTGTCAGGATCACATGGACTCTTGTTGCTTAAGGTTCATGGCTTGCAGGGCTGAAGCTTAAATCAGTTAGCGTGTAAACCCACTACTTAGCTAGCCAGCAGCAAGTATCTCCCTTAAGGCCCTAAGCTTGTAGCCAGCTCAGTCATGATAAATCGGTCCACATGACATTGGAAATTCTACGGTGATCTACAGACCTCACCCATGGGTACAAACCCCCGGTTCCAATATCCTATGCACAGCTCTCCAACTCCAATTTCGCATGAAAGCTGACAAGCATCATCCTATCCCACAAACCACTAGGCCACAGCGAGAGAGAGAGAGAGAGAGAGAGAAAGATAGAGATAGAGTGAGCGGGTTTAGGGTTTAGGGGTTTTGGGTTTTAGGGTTTAGGGGTTATGGTTT